TCCCCAAGCTTCCCAGCACATACACCTCTATTTTGGGCTTTTATCACAGTGGACTGTAATTTGTGTATCTATTCATCTGTCTCTCTTTCTAGACCATGAACTCGTTGGACACTGAGTCTCCGTCCTCTTGGTCCTTTGTGCTGGACACAAAGATAGGGACTAACTATATGTTTGTTGAATGAATGAATCATTCAATCAACACATTTACTTATTGAAGATTTACTATGAGATGAGGAAACTGAGGCACAAAAAGGGATGAGCTGGCCCAAGGCAAATGAGGAAAGAGGACCCTGGCTCCTGACTCCAGATGCAGCCCGAGCCTCAGAGAGTAGGTGGGTGCCTGGCAAGGTAAGGGTCTGGGGAGGGAGGCAGGGTGGTTACCTTGGATGCCCATCTCCTTTCGACACCACTGGATGAAGTTGGAGACGTTGTCCCGGGCCTGGAAGGTGCCCGGCTGGGCAGCCCCATTGCAGGAAACCCCAGCCCGGGGCAGGGGAATCCTTTGGGCTCGGGCAGGTGCCTCAGCCAGGAAAGCCAGGGCAGCCTCCGTGATGGCGTTGGCATGCCGGCACAGCACCAGGCCTGTCTCCAGGACCTGCAGGAAGTTGGTCGTGTCGATGTCCAGCCCGTAGAGATCCCGAAGCCACTCAGCCAGGTCCTCCTTCATGGCTTCCAGGTACTGCTCGCTGGACTTAAAGGGCCGGATACTACGCACTGGTGGCCTGACAGTCCCTGGCCTCCTCCCACATCCCCTAGGCTTGGACATGGTTGGACCCTCAACAGGGAGGAGGTGGGTGCCTCCTCTCTGCCGCTGCTGTGTCTTCACTACTGCCTGCTGGGTCTTGGCTGGTTCTCCCTGACTCAGGGATTCCCCTTCTACCCTCTAAGAGCCCAGAACTTCCGGCTCTGCTACTTGCTGTTGGCTTTAGCCCGGTCTCCCGCCCCCCCACATTCCTCAGTCCCTGCCGGAACTTTCCCTTCCCTCCTTGGTGGCCTTGCAGTGACCTCACTTTTGGGCTGCCCAGTTCTCTCAGAGTTTGCCACCTCCCAGGACAGGTGGAGGTGAGGACACTGCTCTCTCCCCCAGGCTAGACAGGTCCACTGGCTGCTTCCCACCCCCCAGCAGTCAGTGGAGCCTGGCTGTCCTGCTGTCTGCCTCTCCACTCTGCTTTCCCCTCCTCTCCTTGGAGACAGCGCTGCTACAAACACTCCTTGTTAACCCTTCCTGGCAGCCAGCTGAGGACTGCCCTGCAGAGCCTGCCTGGGGACCCAATGGAGCAGGGAGGAGAGGCTGGGGCCAGCTTGTCTCCCTTGTTTGAACGTGACAGGTTCTGGGAATTCCGGGAGAAAAGCAGGGCCAGGGGTGGACGAGCCCCTGAGTGTTAGTGAGCACTGTAAGGTGGGGATGAAAGAGACAGTGATAGAGGCTAAAGACAGGACTCCAGCTTTGGTCCCTTTCCTGTATCCTCCTGTGACCTTCCTATGCTACCTAGCCTCTCTGTGCCTTAGTTTCCTCAACTGTAAAATGGGAATAATGTCTACCTCTCTCAAGTCTTGTGAGGAGTAAAGGGATGATGTAGGTGGAAAGCTTCAAGACACAAGCACAGGCAGGACTGGGTGGGTCCCAGCTCTCGCTGATTCTCCCAGCGGCCCTGTTTATGCCCAGTAAGCTCCACTTTCTCTGAAAACCTGCTCCATCCCCCTCTCCAACCACTGATTCCTCTAGAGCTGGTTGGGGCTGTCAACCTCAGTACTTCATCATGGCCACAGCAGCGCATGCCTTCAATAAAGATCCTTAAGTACCTCCTATGTGCTAGGCACTATTATAGATCTGAAGATAGAGCAGTAAATGAGGTGCCTGACCTTATGGAGGCTACATACATGTTAGTGAGGGATGAATGACAGGTGACAAACAAATAAATCAAGAGTAAGTCAGATGGTGATAAAGGCCAGGGAGAAAAATAAAGCACTAAATGAGATGGAGCAGTGGGTGGAATTTTATGGAAGGTGATCAAGGGAGGGCCTCACTGACATGATATTCAAAGGGTAAGAGGCTCCATTCTCCTTAAACAAATATAAAATCTTGCTTTATATATATATTTCACTCTTGGGTAGCCCTTACGTACCACCTTATTGGATATTTCTTCTTGTAACTTACCTTTATTGCTCAACTAATATGAACATAGCATCCTTGTGTTATACCTGGTCATCACAAGTTAATGTGCTATATGCACTATTAATTTACACATTAAAATCTTAAAAAGTGCAAAAATTATAGCTTTACTTTGAACAATCGACCTCATCTTGTTCTCCAGATTTCTGTGAATGGCAGGAAATAATGCTCGCCAGTAAAACGTACCTCATTCTCTTCTGGTTTTAAGCAGTTTCTTTTGGATACAAATCCAGTCAATTTGAGTTCACACTTATTATCAGTGCAGTTTCTCCCCTTTCTAGGGTCTTCCAAGTTTGGCATCTGAGTTCAGGAGGCACACTTACATTCCCGGTATAGTGGGGTTACCTGTCTGTCCTCGTGCTTTCCTTGCTGACTATATTACTACTCTGTGATCAATTCCCAATGTGGTTTTATGCTGGTATTGTTTGATACCACAATCCCACTTTTTATGAAGGTCCTGTGAAACCCAAAATATACCTGAGAAGAGTGAATGAACACCCTATGGATGACAATGGGCCTCTGGGCAGGTTGAGGTGGGTGAGGCAGGATGAGCTGAATGACCAGACATGAGGGGACACCCTATCATGGTTGTTGGTGAGAGGCTCCCTAAAAGCCACAATACAGACTCAGTTGGTTTGGGTGTGCCTGGCCAGGGATATTGAAGGTTGTTCATTGTGCCAGTGACCAGAGGTGGCCCTTGCAGTGGCTGCATTGTTCTGTGATGTGGCTCTCAGCTGTGTTCGCCCTCACCAGCCTTCTATAGTTCCTGTCCAATGGCCAAATTGGCCGTTCTGTGAGCTCTGCTCTTCTGTCTCTTTAAATTAGCTAGAGTGGGGGTACCTGTGTGGCTCAGTCAGGTAAGCGGTTAAGTGTCTGACTTCAGCTCGGGTCATGATCTCCCGGTTCATGGTTTCGAGCCCCACATTGGGATCTGTGCTGACAGGTCAGAGCCTGGAGCCTGCTTTGGATTCTGTGTGTCCCTCTCTCTCTCTCTGCCCCTCCCTTGCTAACACTCTGTCTTTCAAAAATAAATAAACATTAGGGGTGCCTGGGTGGCTTAGTCGGTTAAGCGTCTGACTTTCGCTTGGGTCATGATCTTGCGGTTCGTGGGTTCAAGCCCCGCGTCGGGCTCTGTGCTGACTGCCAGCTCAGAGCCTGGAGCCTGTTTCAGTCTGTGACTCCCTCTCTCTCTGACCCTCCCCTGCTCACGCTGTCTCTCTCTCTCTCTCTCTGTCCTAGAAATAAATAAAACATTTAAAAAATTAAAAAAAAAATAAACATTAAAAATTTTTAAAAATAAATGAATTAGCCAGAGTGAGCTTTTGAATCTTGCAATCAGGAGTCCTAGTGGCTATAATCTCTTTTAGGAAATGTAAGGAGAATGGGTTTGTTGGGAGACAGTACTCCATGGGTCTTTTGCATTTCTGCTTGTCTTACAAATAGAGGCAGTGACTCTTCAAGGATGTTTATATAGTGAACAACCTTTGAGAGATAGTGACTGCATCTCTTTCTGGAGCAGAGATCAGGCTTGTTTACTGCCCATTAGAAAAGATTTGTGTTCTGGGGCCCCTGGGAGGCTCAACTGATTAAGCGTCTGACTAATGATTTCAGCCCAGATCATGATCTCCCGGTTGTGAGATCGAGCCCCAAGCGTGGAGCCTGCTTAAGATTCTCTGTCTCCCTCTGCCCCTTTCCCCCCCTCAAAAAATTATAAAAAGATTTGTGTTCTTAAGCTTAGAATTTCTCTTGTAATGTAAGCCAGCACTCACACAGGCATTCACTGATAGCCATCGCTGTGGCACCCATGGGACAATGGGCAAGTGGTGCTCACACACATAGGCTGATGCTGCTGTCCCATGAGGAATCAAGTCCTCTGTCTCTGACCCAGGAGCCTCATGTTTTTTGTCACACCCATGACACTCCAGCAAGTTAACTTGCTAGCATGCAAGAATAGTAAAACTTCAGACCCTCCACAGTTCTTGACAGGACTGTCCTCACGTGACTAAGAAATTCCTGGAAGCTGTTCTGTTCTTATTCTCCATCCCACCCACCTGCCTCCACCAAACTGGGAGGTGCCTGAGGAAGTGACCCCATTCTCCTCCACCCTCAGACTTGGAGCGAAACAAAATCATTCTTCCCTGTCAGACGGAGGCTCTCTGGAACTGGGTTTGCGCCCTCTGACCCCTTTGCATACTCCTGTCCCTGCCAACACATACCACTCTTAAGGACAGGAAAATGAGGAGTTTCCCCAAGCCTCCATTATTTTATCCCCTCCCCCAGCTCCAATTCTCACACACACTAACACCACATTCTGGAGCTACACCTGGGTCTTTCCTGGGCCCTGCTTCCTACTGGACTTGGAGGCATCTCCTCTGCTTCTTGGAGCTAAGGCAATGAGCTGGAAGTAAGTTGAGTGAGGAGCCAGAGTGAGGAAGGATAGAGATAAGGCAGAAAAGGGAGGAGAGAACATAATGATACAAATAAACATAATGCTTCGAGTGCTTTCTGTAGGCCAGGTAAAGTCTGGTACTGTGTGACTATCTGATTTACAGATGAAGAGATTGAGGGTTAGAGACAACATGCTGAAGGTCAGATAGCTCTTACATTTATGTGGTTGAGCTGGGATTTTGAACCCAGCCTACAGGGGACCAAAGCCACTCCCTTCTCCCCTATAATGCCTTGCCAAGAGGGAAAGTAGGGGACACTATGGTTTAAGTGCTCTTGGAGGCTCTAGAAAAGGCAGCTTATTCCTTGGTGGGGCCCTTTGGGCAGGTGAAGTTCTAGCCCCACCCCTTGTGATCCAACAGAGGCCTTGGAGATCAGACACAGTTCTATGTGCCCTGGGAATTCCCTCTTATCCCAGTCCCTAATCAGGGGAAGAGGGCAGCACAGCCTTGGGAAGAATGGATAAGCATGGTGAGTGGGGCTGGAGGCAGGGTGGGGACTGAGGACAGGACCATTGACTTCTGTTAAATGTGGAGGCAAACCCAGTGTGGACCAAGTCACCCATCACCATAGCAACCCCAGAATAGAAGTACAGCCTTTCCTCAGTTACTTGTACAAGCCCTCTCCTCTCTCTTTTCTGAATATTCTTGACATCTGCTCCCTCATCTTCACCTGCTGTTGTTGGGACCTTTGTCTTCTCTGACCAAACCACTGTGATGATGCCTAAGTGGATCTCCCTTACCCTGCAGAGAGGCCACCCTCAAACACAGCTCTGAGCAGGTTCCTCCATCAGAATGTCCAGTGGCTCCACTCCTGAACAACAAAGTCCAAACTCCATAGCCTGTCACTCAATGTCCCAACCTTCCTGCCTAACTTCGTTTCCTATTCCCATTTCTTTCAACAAGTTCCAGCACCACTTTCTGGCTGTGCACTAAGTATGGCCTTTCACAACCAAAAAGCTCCTTAGCGTGTTTTCCTAAAGAAAAGTGCAGCGGTCCCTAGCTTTCCAGCGTCAGCAACATCAAGAACTGGCAGAATCTTTGAAACAATCTTTTTGGGAAAGATTTCAGAAGTCTTGGATGAATTTCAGAGGCCCCTCTGTTACCTACCTTGTCCCTGCCTGAGATGGTTGTGAAGACAAAGAGGCACAATGTATGGAGAGTTTAGCGCAGTGATTGCATACAGTTGGTGCTCAACTAGAACACCAATTTTGTCATTCTCCTTTGTCTCCAACCTCTTTAAACAGGAAGGGCAGGTTTCAATTGGAATTTTCCTGACCTTTCTAGGGCAAACCATGGTTGTGTCTTCCTACCCTCTTCCCCCCTGCATTTCGTTAGAAGTCTGGCTCCCCAGATCCAGCAGAGAGCAGGGCACATGGTGGTGGAAGGTGGGAGAGAGATTGCTGAGTGGTGGACACCTCCCAGCAGAGGCCAGGTTACTTTCCATGGCCCCCTGGGTCGGGGGGCTGGCTTCCTACTTGCCTGGACTACTGTGATGAGTTATGGAGTCTGTGCTCTCAACAAAGGCACCAGCAGGAGGGACAGTGGTGGGTGAAATCCAGCTGGCAATTGGGGTCAAGCCTGGAATGAGGCTTTTCCTAATTGGCTCATTCCTAGGGCCACTCCTTTTCCTAACTGGTCTGTCCATGTTGTTGTTGTAGGTGGTGCTGGTGGTGGGGTGTGTGTACGGTGGGGTTTTTATTTAATCTGCCCACAGGGGGAACTTTTTTCAATTATTTTGCTCATCGCAGGTGCCTGCCACAGCTGGGCTTCCTTAAGGCAAACCCCACGTTGAAGAAGGAAATCCTACCCAGAAAACAAAATCTAAACAACTGTCTATAAAAACTGAACTTAAATGTTTATTGACCACGTACAGAGATCAGTCCCCATCCTCGAGCCATTGAGAAGGAAAGTGGTGATGAGCCAGTATAGCCTCCGGGTTCAGGTTCGGGTTAGCAGCCCTTGTTGCTACCCCTCGATGATTGCCTCCCAGCAAGCCCTGGGCTGGTCACTTTACAGAGACGCGACCGTATACCTGCCTTACGATAACCCTTAAGATGGGCACCACTTTTGGATTGTTTCCTTTGCCGTGCAGAAGCTTTTTTTTTTTTTTAATTTATTTATTTCTAGGAGAGAGAGAGAGACAGCATGAGCAGGGGAGGGTCAGAGAGAGAGGGAGTCACAGACTGAAACAGGCTCCAGGCTCTGAGCTGGCAGTCAGCACAGAGCCCAACGCGGGGCTCAAACCCACGAACCGCAAGATCATGACCTAAGCGAAAGTCGGACGCTTAACTGACTAAGCCACCCAGGCGCCCCATGCCGTGCAGAAGCTTTTAATCTTGATGAGGTCCCAATAGTTTATTTTTGCTCTTGATTCCCCAGGGAAATACAAATCAAAACCACACTGAGATACCACCTCACGCCAGTCAGAGTGGCTAAAATGAGCAAATCAGAGAACTCTAGATGCTGGCGAGGATGTGGAGAAACGGGCACCCTCCTACACTGTTGGTGGGAATGTAAACTGGTACAGCCCCTCTGGAAAACAGTGTGGAGGTTCCTCAGGAAATTAACAGTAGAATTCCCCTATGACCCAGCAATAGCACTGCTAGGAATTTACCCAAGGGATACAGAAATGCTGAGGCATAGGAGCACATGTACCCCAATGTTCATAGCAGCACTCTCAACAATAACCAAAACATGGAAAGAGCCTAAGTGTCCATCAACGGACAAATGGATCAAGAAGATGTGGTTTATCTATACGATGGAATACTACATGGCAATGAGAAAGAATGAAATCTGGCCATGTGTAGCAACATGGATGGACCTTGAGGGTGTTATGCTGAGTGAAATAAGTCAGGCAGAGAAGGACAAATGCCATATGTTTGCACGTATAGGAGGATTAGGAGGAACTTAATGGAGGACCATGGGGGAGAAGAAGGGAGGAAATGGTGTGGGAAAGGGAGAGAGGCAAACCATGAGAGACTCTTGAATGCTGAGAACAAACTGAGGACTGATGGCTGTGGGGGGAGGGGATGATGGGCATGGAGGAGGGCACTTGTGGGGATGAGCACTGGGTGTTATATGGAAACCACTGGACAATAAACTACTCGTAGAAAAAAAAAAGGGCACCACTTTTGACAGATGGGGACACAGGGCTTGACATAAGCGACGTGACTTGCCCTGAATCCTCAACAAGGAAGAGTAGAAACCTGGGAAATGGCGCGGGGGGCGGTGGAGGCGGGTGGGCGAGAGTCCTGCAGGCCCTGTCTCACCGGGGAAAATCCTGCACACTCTGTGATGCTCTCTTCGGAATCCTGATAGCCTGGTGCATCTCGTGCACACCGTCCTTCAGGCGCCCGTCTGTCTTTATGGGCCGGTGCTGACCTCCTCCCTCTCGCAGGACTGAAGACCCCCTTGTGGAAGAAGGAACTGCCGGAGCCGCAGGCCAGAGAGGCGGCGGCGGCGGCGGAGGAGGAGGAGGCGGCGGCGGAGGAGGAGGAGGAGGAGGGGTTGGAGTTGGACGAGGACGAGAGGCCGCGGGAGCAGACGGCGGCCGAGGGCGAGGCGCCGTGCCGGGAGGCGGAGGGCGGCGAGGGCCGCGAGCGCGGCTCCGTGTCCTACTGCCCGCTGCGCCAGGAGTCCAGCACCCAGCAGGTGGCGCTGCTGCGGCGCGCGGACAGCGGCTTCTGGGGCTGGCTCAGCCCCTTCGCGCTGCTTGGCGGCCTGGGGGCTCCGGCGGACAGGTGAGGGCGCGTCCTGGCTGGGGCGGGCAGCACGCGCGGGGCCGCGGTGGGCGGGGACCGCGCCGGGCACTGAGCGTCCCGGGCCCCGCGCAGGAAGCGGAGCCTCCCAGAGCCGCCGTGCGTGTTGGAGACGCGGCGCCGGCTGCCGCGCCGCGAGGGCTGTGCGCGCTGCGAGATCCTTTTCTGCAAGAAGTGCAGGAACCTGCACAGCCACCCGGCCTACGTGGCGCACTGCCTTCTGGAACACCCAGATCTGGTGAGGCGCGGGCTTCGGGCGGCGCGGGGGCTGCCGGGGACCCCTGAGCGCCCCCACTGCTAGCCTTTGTGCCCTCCGTCCTCGCCTGACCCCAGCCTCCCCGCCACCTTCTCTCCTCTGACGCGGAGCGTTCTCCAGCACATTCCACAGAATTGCCCCTTCCCAGAGCCGCCCTGCCCGGAGCGCCGCCTCCGAGCCGGCAAACAGGCCCACCTGTCACCGAGCCCACCCAAGGCTGAGCCCAGCATCACCTGGAGCTCCATGCCTCCGTTAGCGCCTCCCGAGGGCTTCCGTCCTGGGAGGGCACTCAATGCCTATCGCCCACCTGACTCGCGTCCCCCAGCACAGTCTCACATTCATCTCTTGAGCATTTCAGGTCCTTCTAGCCCAGTGGGCCTAGGCGTTGCTCGAGAAACTAACCCCTGGGTTCCCTCACCGCTGAGAAACCGCCCCTACCCCTCATTCAATAAAGCCTCTAAACAAAGTGTCAGTGCCTTGAGTTGGGGGCCAGGGGGCTCCCTTGAGGGTGATAAAGACCCTCATTTCCCCTCCCCAGGGTTCAAGCCAGAGGGAACAGGGCAGGCCGAGAGCCTCCTCCCTCTCTCTCCCAGGACAGGGCGGAACAAAGCACTTGCATCCAAGGGCAGTCAAAGGCCATTTCCCCCCACTGCACAGAGAAGAAAATGAAGGCGCAGGGCCAGGAATGCCCATGGGGAGCTGAGGGCTGAATCTTGCCAGATCTTTCTCCCCTTCTGCTGGAAGCCTGGTCTTGCCAAGGTCAGTGTGTGTGCAAATGAGGCACGGGCAAGTGTGGAGGGGGGAGGACAAGAGAACCAGATGCTAAGACGGAGACTGGCTGAGGCAGAAGGCAGGGAGGCTGGGGAGCTGGTTCCTTCTCCAGGAATCCCAGCTATTCTTGGCCAGCCAGCAGGAGCTCCTGGAATGCTGTGTGTGTGGCCTGAAGAATGGGGCCATTGTGAGCACCAGGCCTCCCCCAGCCTGCAGAGACCCCAGCGCCTGCAGCAGAGCAACCCTCCAGAGAGGCCCCTGTCCTCTCCCTGCCACCCATTACTCTCCATCTGGCCTGGGGGTGAGGGAGGGCAGGGACATGATGCTTTTTCAGGCCCCCTCTCTGCATCGCAGCTACTCACACACAGTCTGTGGTCTTGACTTGGGTGAACGAACATGGTTCCAGCCTCTCCAGCATTCGTGCCCCACCTGCTCTTCACTGGAAACCATCCCAAGGAAGACTGATGTCCGCCTCCAGGCCCAGAAGCTGGGGGCACCTCTTTATTCCAGCCTCCCCAGCCCCTACCAAACATCAGGCCCAGCAGACCTGCATCAGTCTCCCTCTTGTTCTGGGTCCTAACCACCACCTTCCCCCTCCCACTCAAGGCTCTCTGAGGTTGGAAATCCTTGTTCCCAACCCACCCAAGCTTCCTGGAGGTGAGGCCTCTCATTTAAGACAATTTTCCAAGAGCGGAGCTGGGAGGTCCTGAGGGGAAAGAGAGGTTGCCAAGTGGTCGCAACCTCTCCGTGGAGTTTTATATCCTCCCTGGCTACCCAGTGCTTCGGCCTCGTGGACAGGAAGTGCACCTTTAGCAGAAGAAACAAAATCCCTAAAACTTAGGGAGGAGAGCCATGGGATTTGAGACCCTTTTTGGCTTCTGCTTGGATTGATCCCACAAAGTTCAATGCCTTGAGAGCACAAAGACATTCTCCAGGGAACAGATGCAGACATGGTCTGGTCTTCTGCAGGGAGGCTCAGAGGCTTCCAAGAGAGGGCTGGCCCCTGGGGCAGGGGACACACGTTGGCCATAAAGGCATCAGTTCACTAAGAGGTGGGGGCACCTTCAGAACAGGGCACCCCCGGAGTTGGCGTGCCAGCAGCCCATCCAGGGCAGCTCTGTGGCCCAGCGGCCCGAGTCTGTCACCTGCAGTTTGGCCTGGTCAAGGCGCCAGTAGCGGTCATCTCTGAAGAAGATGACGGAACCGTCAGGCCGAGGCAGGGCGCCACTGACCTCCTCAGGGACACCGTCCCAGTCCTGCAGGCCTCGGGGATAGTAGGGCTCTACCTGCAGTCCACCTCGGGCCAGTACGTAGTAGCGGGCACCCTTGAAGAGGATCAGTCGGCCCAGAGGAGGGAAGAAGAGGGCCGCATCGGGGTGGCGGGGCAGGCCCCCTAGCCTGCACAGCTGTGGTAAGCCCCACACTGGCTTGGGGCCCCGGAACCTCCAGCATCGGCTCCCTGTAGGGCGTGAGGAGAGCCAAGGGTGAGCTGGTGGCTCTCACCCTTTGGTCCTCCACTTCACCTGGGTCCCCCTCACCCTAGAGCCCAAGGTAAATAGTATTTGTGATAATCAAAGTGGATCACACAGTACTAATAATTCTTTACACCCAGTAAGGAGGGGCTGTTATGGCCTAGACTTCCAGCAGGTGTCAGCAGAGGGCAGATGGCACTGCGGGAACCCATCCCTGGGAGGTGGGAAGCAGGTCCCTCCCTGAGTAGGGAGTGGACTACCGGGAAGGCCGGTCACTACCATTTCTACACAGAGTTCTATGAAGGCAGAGATTTCAGTTTTGTTCACTACTGTAGCCATAACACCCCCAACAGTATCAAATGCATACAATGCATTCAATATTTGTTCGATGAATGAAACTACTCAAATAATATACTGCAGGCTCCTCAGACATTATGCTATTTTAATCCTCCTTCTCCAAGAAATCCAAGAGATTATTTTCCTCATTCAAGAAGAGAGTTAAGTGACAAGCCCAACCATACACAGCCCGGATTCCAAGGAGGTAGGACTTTCCACTGGATCTCGGAGCTTGGGAGTGGTTCTCTGCTCCCCTTCTAGACTCTTCTCTGCAGCTCTCCCACCCTCTCTCTCTGGGACAACCTCCACACCCGTGCCCCCCAATCCATCAATGAAGGAACCTCCTGGTAGAGGTCCCTGGGGTCACAGGTTCAGATTGGACTTGAGACTCCTCCTTTCTTTTGACCTTGGACAGAACCCCTACCTTCTCTAGGCCTCAATTTTCTCATCTGCCCCAGGGCTGGTACCTTTGAAGAAGTAGAAGTCCCCATCATCCAGTGACACTGCAGCGGCCTCAATATGGGGGGGCAGCCCAGCCCACCTCTCCTGTAGTGGGCGTGGCTCGGAGACATTGCCATTCGGTGTCACCTCCCAGAAGTGGCTTCCATGAAAAATGTACAGTCGCTGTTGCCCATCTGTCCGGAGACAAGACAGTTGAGTGACCATCGGCCTCTTGCCTTCCTTCGTGGGAAGCTGCTTCCCAGACAAAGGAGAGAAGATGTGGCCTGCCCAGTTGGGGGCAGAGGGAAGTGCGCAGGAGGAAGCAGGGTTTTGCTTGGTGTGGTTTGCTACCCCGCAGAATGCCTGTGGCTTGGGATTTCTAGATTTTATGATTCATACCCTCACCTTGTATTCCAGCTCCAGAGACCCCTGGAGATGTGGGGGAGGAAGGAAAAAGGAAGTGAGGCACAGGTGGGATCACCTTACCTACAGTGATGGCATCGAAGAAAGCATGGCAATATTTAGGACCCTGGATTTCAGGGCGCCTTCCCTGTGTTCCGTGGGGGTCCCAGGCCTCGAAGTCAGTGAATAGCTTTCCTGGGAGCTGGATGGCCACTGAGCCCCCCTGAGGCTTCCCTTCATGGGGAAGGAGAGAAGAGGGAGAGAACACACATGGGTTGGGGTGGGTGTCGAGGGCTCAAGACCTCCCCTTTGGTTCCTTTCATCCTTTTCTGGTATGAGAGGCAGGGAAGGAGAGTGGGGGTGGGGTTTAATAATTGTCCTTGGTTGCCAGTATTAACCACAGCACTAAACTCAAAAGTCCTCTCTCCTGCCCAACAGTCTGGGAGAGAAGGATCAGTTGGAGTGCGGGACCAAACAAGAGTTTGGCACTAAGAAGGGCAGAAGATTATCTTCCCTGAGTCCTGGCCACAAAGTTGGCATGCGGACATGGTTCAGGGGCCCAGGCTGTGATCGTTACAGCAATTATAATAACTACATCACTATATTTCACTTAGGAGACTGAGGCAGAGTCCGACAAGCTTAGAATTTGGCACCAGCTCCTGTGTCCGGGTCTAAGCTTTCTAGCTGTGTGACCTTGGACAAGTGACCTAACCTCTCAACTCCATTCTCCTCATCAATGGACAAAAGGATACTTACTCATGAGTGTATTGTATGTTAAGTGCCTGATAACTATACATAGTTACATAGAATGGATAATATACATTCACAAAACAGCAGCTGTTTGTGTAGGTTTCTTAGGGTACAAAAGAAGTTCATACCCATTAGTACCACAGCCCTGTGAAGTAAGCAGTTATCTCTTTTCTCAGAAGGTAAAACTGAGGGCTCCCAGGGGGAAAGTGCTTTCCCCCAGAGCAGCTGCTTAGCAGGAACAGCATGGGCTCTCCGCCCTGCCCACGCACCGTGCACTCTGAGGGAGACAGGCCTGGATGGGCGGCAGTACTGGTCAGATCATTCTGGGGAACAGACCTCGTCTGAGTTCACCTCCAGGCAGAGGCCCGGGCTTGGAGGGAAGTGGGCACCAGCGTTGGCGAGGAGGGAGGCTGGGGGAGAGCAAGCGGAGCGGGACCCAGGGCTGGGATGGGGGAAGACGTGGGACCGGGGACTGGGTCTGGGTGGCTGGGCAGGGATGGGAGAGGAACTGCCAAGGCCAGGGCTGGGCGGAAATCCAGAATTGGATGCAAGGGAGGGGGGTACGGCGCGGGACTGGTTGGGATCGAGAGGCCAAGCATGGGGACAGCAGGGTCCCGAAGATTTTCGGATTTGAGGGGGAGCCTGCGGCTTCCGGATCAGGAGGGGCCAATGGCGGGGAGGCCGGTTTCCCACTCCTGGGACGCGGGCTCCTGCTTGCAGCGCGGGCGTCCAGGCCTCGGAGACGCGGCGGCGGGGGCTCACCATACAGGTCTTGCACGGCCAGCACGTCGTCCCAGCTGAGCAGCGCGTCGCGGCCCAGCCTCTTGTAGTAGGGCGCCATGAGCGCGCGCGGCGCGGGCGAGTGGGCCAGCCCGAGCGTGTGGCCGATCTCATGCGCCAGTACCACGAACAGGTTGCGCCCGCGGCGGCGGCTCAGGGACCAGCGCTCGTCGCGGTCGAAGTGCGCTTCGCCACGGCGGGGCAGGAAGGCGTGCGCCAGGGCGCCCCCTGCAGGCGGCGCAGAGGGTCAGGGGAGCCACCGTCCGCTATGCCCCCAAATTCCCACCTTCCCGCGCAGGGGCCAAGGAGTGGATGTGGCTGTCTTCTGCCTAATTCCCCTCCTAACGACGTCTAGCAGAGGCTGAACTGTGGAGCAGTGAACTGATGGCGAGGCTATGGGGTGGGGACGCCTAGAGGCAGCGTGGTGTACACACAGCATGGGACCAAACTGCCTGGGTTTCCAACCTGGTTTTACTCTTTTCTGGCTGTGTGACCTTGGGCAAGTAGCAGCCCCTCT